CCCCCCCCCCCCCCCTCATTCCCCGCGCCCCCTCGCCTCACCCTCGAAGATGGCCGAGATAAAATCGTTCTTACTTCTTTCTTCGGTTATATTATCGATGGACTTATCATTTTCGGCCAGAATTGCAGGTTTTAGCGGATTTTATTCGGGATCCCATTATTTTACGATCAAAAAGGTTATGGAGGAGTTGTTCTCCCGAGGTCACGAGGTGAGAGTCTTTCGCACTAGATGCGGTCCCAACTACCGTAAATAAATCCTTGAAACCTGCGTGTACCGCTTACTTAAGGTAATTTTCATCCGGGAGAATGCTCCCTATTTCGCATTCTGTAACGTTTTGCATTTGAAATGCCGATTCTTTTGCAGGGCGAGGGAAATCTCGGATCTCGTGACTTACCGTTTTGGCCCGCAATCAAAGGAACATGGCGATCACACCTCGTCTTAGAAATTTTCGCGCCTATTAATTTTCCTTCAGTGTGCTCACTCTCTTCATCGGCTTCAGAGCAAAGGTCCATGGCTCAACTCGTTAAATTAACGCCGATTTCTCATATACCAGACATAAAGCCTACACCCTAGGAGCTTGACGTTATCAATGACACTAGTTGAGGCGCATGCTGCCGCGCTAATTTAGAGGTGACGATAGTTTTATCATCACGCCATTCTCTTGCGTTTTACCTCGTTTCCCTTGCCTCCCTGATTTAAAAACGTCTCCAAAAACTCAAACGAGCCTTCACGCACTGGCAACTACCATCTACTGTGCCATTAGTGGTGGGAGTTACTTTGCAACATGCAACTTACTAAGTGATTTCTCTATTTCTGTTTTGTTGTGTTTTTTTTTTTTAATTTTTTAGCCCTTTTTTTTCTTCTTGAATGACTACATGAGTAGGTTTTCGGAGCACTGTAATTTTTTTTCAAGTAGAGGTTGAATAATTTGCAAAGTTTTTTAGTTTTCTTATACAGTATTATTACTTTTTCTTCATTTCTGATGTAGGTGGTGCTTGTTCGACCAGCAGTTCGTGATGCACCACCAAGTAATGAGCAGAAAATTCCCCACAGGACATTCCTGACTCCATACGATGAAAAAGATACAGAGAACACAGCGATAACAGCCATGGAAGGCAAAATGTGGAAGACAATAAATCGCTTACATGAAATGCAAAGAGTCAATTGTGAATACATGCTGAATGACACAGTGCTACTTCAAGAACTGAAAAGCTTTGACTTGATAGTTTATGAGAGTTTTTCCTTCTGTGCTGTTTTGGTCTCTGAGCTTCTTGGCATTCCAAAAGTAGTCATATTTTCTGGTCCTCCAAATGGTCCAGGAACTTTTGCCCATAATATTCCCCACCCAGTATCATACATTCCAGCACCAATGACTTTATTTACAAGCGAAATGACATTTTTACAGCGTCTTATGAACTTTGGTACATATAAACTCACACAGTCTGCAGAACAAGTTTTAATTGCCAGGTATATGGGTTCTCTGAAAGAGGAATACAACATCACTCCTGAGAAGAGCTACCAAGAAGCTGCTGGCAATGCTGAGCTGGTGCTGTTTCTTGCTGATTTTGCACTGGAGTATCCACAGCCTCTTTTGCCAGGTTTGCCAAAATAAGTGAAGAGGATCTGAGCAACAGAGTACTTACCCCTCCCCTAACCAAACAGCAGTCAACTGATAACAAGTAGGGTTAATGTTGGATGGGGGGGGGGAAGGTAGATGAGCATGAGGCTGCTTAGATGTTGGCATTGATCTGTTAAGTAATCCAATCACTCCTGTAATAGAGTTTAGAGTTGGAAAAGGTTTTACATGTGACATGTGATTCCATATCTGACGTGAAAATTTTACAGAAAGGCGAGTTAAGATGTGATGTGAAATTTTCCCTTTGAAATTCATGATGTGTTAAATACTGCTTAAAGACCAAGTGATGCATTAATGTTTTTTTATGTTCAAAATTTGTGCAAAAAACCAGCCAACAGATAAGTGATAGCAAAATGTATGGGGTTATCCACCAGATAGAAATTTATCTAGTGGTTAATTAGCGCTATGGGACCTTTCTATTACAGAAGGGTAATGGAAAATTTTTGAAAATTATAAATCACAAAATATTGTCTAGATCTAATGGTAGGCTAGTTATCATTTATCTGTAGTATCTTGCCCAAGGGGGGGGGGGGGGGGGAGGTAATAAGGTATCCTCAACCTCACCCCCTCCTTCACATTATTCTTAGGATGAACCAGTTAGCATTAACAGTTTATCTGTTTGTCTTCTTGCAGGTCAAATTATGGTGGGTGCCATTTCTGCAAAAGGGGATCCTAATACACTTCCCCCTGAATTGAAAGATTTTATCAACAGTTCAGGGGGACATGGGTTCATTATTGCCTCTTTTGGGTCATATGTACAAACAATCATAGCTAAGGAGAAGATCGATGTCTTGGCTGAAGGTTTTGGAAAGGTGAAGCAGAACGTCATATGGAAACTGAAAGGTATGTAACCCTAAGTAACTTTACAAAGGGATAGATCTGGGCCCAGTTGGAAAAGGGGCAGATAATGGTATCCAACGGACAAGTGCTAGCAAAATGTATAGGGTTATCCACCAGATAGAAATTTATCTAGTGGATAGCACCATGGGACTTTTCAACAACTGGCAAATATACAGACTTTACACTCAAAAGGGTACTACCTCTTGCATGGCAGAGTATATCATTGAACAAGTTGATCATGCATTTAGAAAATGGATAGGGAGAACTTGAAAGTGAGTCCTCTTTTTTAGCTTCTTTTGCAGTGATGTGGAGTTATAAATTACAGTTAATTGTCACAGAGTCAACAGAATTTTTGTGACAAGGATATGGAAATTATTTTTTGGATATCTTACTAAAAGGTATAATTGTTGTGATATAATTATTATTTCAGGGTACATACCTCCATCTCTCAATAAAAACATAAAAGTAATGAGCTGGATACCTCAGAATGATCTGTTGGCTCACAAGGATATCAAAGCTTTTGTATCTCATGTGGGACACAACAGCCTTTATGAGTCAGCATATCATGGGGTGCCTGTGGTGGCTGTGCCCTTGTATGCAGACCAATTCCCTAATGCCAGGAAGGCAGAACACTTTGGAATAGCAACAGTTTTAGATCACAAAATTATGAATGCTAAACAACTTTCAGAGGCAATTCAGCATGTTATTGATGAACCAAGGTATATTCATATATATATAATTTATTATATTTATTTCACTTTCCTCTGAGCTGTTAACCCTTAATTAAACTCTCATGGGTAACTAAGACAGAATCATTTCTCCTTGATGAGAATAAAGCAAAACATCAATAAGGGGATTATCGTTCAATCTTATTCAAAATTCTCCAAACTAACATCAAAAGAATTGTATGGCAGACAGCGAGGAGAATTGCTAGTTAGATCTTGGGAATGAACAGGTTAAGTTAAAATACCTGTAGTTCTCAGTGGTCGCTTTTCACTAACAGCAATGAAATGCAAACTTCTATGGTGATATGATAAAGACCTTAGAGAATGGCTTTAAGCTGGAATCAAAGTTGTGTTTGCACTTGTACCAGGAAAAGCAACCTAACAAAGGCTTCAAGACATATTTTAAATAATATTTAAATATAATTTTGACATCCACATCTTTTGTCCACAAAACTGCCTTTCCCTTCAAATTATTAACTCGTAGTATTAATAACTTCCTTGCTATATAGAATCATGCAGTTGCAAAATTCTCAGTTATGTTAATTTGTATTGTTGTAATTGGCATTGTTAAATGTTGCTATTCTTATTTGTGTCAGATTCAAGAGAGAATCCAAACGCATTTCTCGTCTTATGAAAGACAATCCAAGGACCCCCCTGGAGAAAGCTGGGGACTGGATAGAGTATGTACACAGACATGGTGGAGCCCAACACCTCAGAGCTCAAGTGTTTAACATCCCTTGGTACCAGTACTACTTACTTGACGTCATAGCTTTCCTTGTTGCTATAGTAGCATTAGTTGTCATGGTGATTAGGTTCGCATGCAGGTGTTTTTGCAAAGCATGCTGTAAAAGTAGTGGTACAAAAACTAAGAAGGAGTAGGCATGCTATAATTGCTGTTCTGTAGGATGTCACTGAGTGCTTAATTTTGGGTGTTATCACGAAAGGTGACACCTTCAAGAAATTCCAAGCAAATGCAAATTGCATGAAATCATCATAGCCAACATATTGATCATGATCCTGTTTCACGCACAAAATTTAAAAAAAATAACAAGTCACTTGCACTTGAAACAGTTTTTCACGCTTCATGAATTTAAATGGGAAAACTTTAAATATCACCCTACCTTGCGTTCTGGTAAGATTCATCAAGATTTAAAATTAAAATAGCCTGGTTTTTTTTGTCCTCTCGTGTCTTCTTTAAAAAGAGGAGGGGAGGGTGTTATCCTTTGTAATTTTTCAGATTATCTAAACTCAGTTGATAACACAAAATTACCCTTTTATACTCTCCTACCCACCGATGCAGCACCACAGTTTCTTTAGTAACTTACTCACGTTATTCAATCGAAAAACAGACGTAACACGAAACACGTAACGCAATCGTCATTCTGGGGAACCTCTTCTCTCTGATCCGTTTGACGTTCGAAATGACTCGGCTTTCATATATTTGCATCAGAGTTAATAAACACAGCTTCAGATAACCATCAAAGTGTTTCATTTTAACCTACTTTCCCGCCGA